ACTCAAATCTCAGAATTTTCTTCTGTTGACTCTCACTGAAGTTTACCTGGCTACAGACATCTTGGTGACTGAAACACCAATCTCTGAGATTAGAAGCTTTGTGTAGTCCTTTATGTCAGGCAATACTTCCTTCCCCTATCTCTTTTAGAAGGACTAGATCCTGGTCTCCCATCTCTAGGGAAGGGTCATCTCACAGGGAGACACAGATGGAAATCCAGGGATAGAATGGAGGGGAAAGCCAATTCTTTGGACAGGTGTCAACCTGGAGTCTGCCTCTATAAATCCCACCTTACAGTCATTCTTATTACCCTTCTACTGAGCGTTGCTTTCTACTGAGCTTGCTCCCCACGGGGCTTCAATGTCCTGCTGGTGAGAGTCCAAAAAAGCTAGCTTCCTCTCTTAGTTGCCAGAATAGCTGCTTAAAGAGTCAGAGGGAAGAAAAAAACATCCTAGCTGGTTTGGCTCAGTGGACAGAGCTTCGGCCTGTGAACTGAAGGGTCCCAGGTTCACCTTCGTTCAAGGGCACATTCCTGGGTTGCAGGCTCGATCCCCAATAGGGGGAGTGCAAAAAACAGCCGATCAATGATTCTTTCTCATCATTGATGTTTCTATCTCTCCCTCTTCCTATCCCTTCCTCTCTGAAATCAATAAAAATATGTTTAAAGGGAAAAAAGAGGCTGGAGGACTTCCTGCCACTGAGACATGAAAAGCTCTCAGTAAGCCAGGAACCAGAATCAAAATCATATGGTTTGCTTTGTAGTAAAGATCACAGGGCCTGAAAAATTAGAAGGAGAAAGGCCAACTAGGGGACAAGCTTTTTAGACCCTCCCGCCTAAAGGGCCTTCTGTCCCTAGACTGCTGGCCCACTGGGACTCTCCTCTGGCTCAGACTGCTGAGGTTCAAACCTGGAAGAATGAGATTACCTACTCCCTGAGATACCAGGGTCCCTTCTGACCAGATGCCCCCCAAATGAAAACTGTTCCTATTTATTAGTACTCTTTTCTCTCATGAACTGGCAAACCCCACATCTTAGAGATATTGAGCAAGGAGCCCTTTATATTTGTTTACTCTGGATCTAAATAGATGCGATATTTGTTTACTCTGGATCTAAATAGATGCGAGTTCTCTATGAAGGAGTTTTTATTTTTTCCAAGTTACTTCTGAGGTAGAATCTTCACAAGAATTAAAAAGAAATGCAACCGAAACCGGTTTGGCTCAGTGGATAGAGCGTCAGCCTGTGGATTGAAGGGTCCCAGGTTCGATTCCGGTCAAGGGCATGTACCTTGGTTGCGGGCACATCCCCAGCGGGGAGTGTGCAAGAGGCAGCTGATCGATGTTTCTAACTCTCTATTTATCTCTCTTCCTCTCTGTAAAAAACTCAATAAAATATATATATACTTTTTTAAAAATAAATGCATACTGATGACCCCGTTTACATGTACCCAGTGTGGCAAGCCTAGACTTGGATCTGCTTGGGGACTTTAAATGCCGGGGCTTGTATTAGTTCCAGTGGGTTCCTATCCTTACTAATACATGAGTAGGTACTTTTTATGGACAAGTTTGAGGAGGAGATGCTGCATGCTCACACCTGGGATAGCCACCTGAGAAAAGGTGGATTCCTAATTCTCACCATATACTACTGCCTCCCTGCCCTCCAACCCCAATCCACCACTTCAGTGGCTCCATATAAAAGGCAGCATTTTGGGGAGAAGATTTATGTCCAAATGTCTTCAGGTCTATGCAGAAGAGTTTGGAGCAGATGCCTTTGCTTTACAGCCCAGGCAAACACATAAATGGGAGAGACATTCCAGGCAGCCCTTTGCTATGAGAAGTGGGGAGAGCCTCCATGCCTCAGAGTTGAGAGCCTGCTCCATAAAACTCTCCCTTGAACTGTACACCCAGGGCAGGTCTGCAATATTCTGAGTCATTAAAGAAAAAGGGCAAAGGCGAAAAATAAGACAAATACAGGTGTGTGTGTGTGTTTTTTTTTTTTTTTTTACTTCTACACTTATTTTCTTGCATACGAAGGAAAATAACAGGTCTAATAAAGAGGATGACTATCCTTCTAGGCTGTTGTTGCAGGTGAATGTTTAAAAGGTTGTGGATGATCAGTGATTTGAGAGTGGGACTTTATGTTAAGATTCCCAAAGTTGTATGACCACCCTCCCTACTTCCCAAACCCGCTAGCTTGCTCTACTATATGCTAAGGTTAGAGCATGGAGCAAGCTCCTGAAGCCTTTGGCTCCACACAGGTTCCTCAGTTCTAGCCATCGAAGATTCAGCCCTGGTTCTATTATAGAAGCATCAACCATGCCCTCACAGGAGATTTTAAAAAGCTGGAGTCAAACCTTTACTCATCTCCTGATGTTACTTCTCATTGTCCTTCAAGAACTGCCCTCAGAACTCAAGGGATTGGCTGTTTGGGTAAGTTCAGTGGGGGACTTGCCACTTACACTTCATCCCTGTAAGTCACAAAAATAGGGATAAATCACATTTCAGATAAGCTTATAAGAGTGTATTAGACTCTGCTAGATTAGCCAGATTGTTTTTGAAATTTTTGACCAAAATAAGTTATATTTTTATATGTCTCATGTATTTTTGTGTAAGACCCATCTTATTTAAGTTTTATAATAATACTATACTTTGAAAGGGAAAGTATGAGAATCATTATTATATAGGTGAGAAAAGCAATTAAATGACTTTTCCAAACTTATTTAGTTCTGTTGTTACCAGAATCAAGACTAGGATATTGATGATCTAACTTCCAGTTAATTGCTTTTTCCACCATTCCACTCTAAGAACAAATATCCTACAAAAAGTTGTAGTAAGACGGGGACACTTGACAATAATAGAACCCCTTCCTTGGGCTTTCATTATAATTGTGAAGTCTTCCTCTCTCAAAGCAGAGCCCTCTTTGCCACAATGTGCTCCCCCAGGTTCATATGCACTTCATGCGCATGGAGCCCCACCAAGCACTTTATATACTACTAGAGGCCCGATGCACGAAAATTTGTGCAAGAGTAGGCTTTCCTTCCCCTGGCTGCTGGCACTGTCTTCCCTCTGGCGCCTGTGACCCTGTCTGCCCTCCTCCGGCCACCTGCAGGCACACTGGATCCGGCTGGCTATCCTCTGGTCCCAGCTTCCTCAGGAAGGATGTCCGGTCTACTTAGCATATTACCCTTTTATTATTATAGATTACCTCAATTCATTCCCCAGTATCTCCATTGAGGATATTACTTACCCACAATACTGATAAAGAAACTGAAGCTCAGCCCGTGGCTTAGTGTTTAAGCATCAACCTATAACCAGGAGGTCACAGTTCGATTCCTGGTCAGGGCACATGTCCCAGTGTGGGTCATGCAGGAGGCAGCCAATAAATGATTCTCTCTCATCATTGGCATTTCTAGCTCTCCCTTTCCCTTCTTCTCTGAAATCAATTATATATATAACTGAAGCTCAGTGAAGGCAGATAAATTAGCTTAAAATCCAAGATCCAATCCTAGTTGGTTTGCTCAGTGGATAGAGCATCAGCCTATGGACTGCTGAAAAGTTGTGGGTTCAATTCCAGTCAAGGGCATATGCATGGGCTGCAGGCTTGATCCCCAGTAGGGGGCATGCAAGAGGTAGCCGATCAATGATTCTCTCTCAACATTGATGTTTCTATCTCTCTCTCCCTCTGTCTTCCTCTCTGAATTCAATAAATATATATTGGAAAAAATAAAAATAAATCCCAGAGTGTGCTGTTGGAGCTGAAACCAGGTATTCTAATACTCTGGTCCTTTTTCTGCTGTACTCTAGGGATCCAGAAATATTAGCTATAACAGGAATCAAACATTGTAGGAAGTGGTTATAGGGTTAAGTCTCGGATTGACCTGCTGGCAAAGTCGCAAACAAGTCCCAGCTTGTAGGGCACAGTCCTCTAAGCATAATTAAGCTTGATCTTGTAACTGCTCCCTAGATCTTTCCTGGGTAGCTAGTAGGCTGTGGGAGGGGCAGCAAGTGCTACCAAAATAAGTGAAACTTATAACAACATTGTAGATTACCTTGTTTGTCCCTGACTATAAATAAAGCCTCAACCTTGCAGTCTGGATCTGCTCTGTGGCCTCAGCCAGGCACAGAACATCTACCTAGACCCAGCTTTTTCTCTTTGTCAATCATTTCTCCATCCTTTGTCACCTCCGCTCAGGCTCGCCAAACCCTTCATTGTGCTGGCACAGCACAAAACATAGATCTCCTAATGATGAAAATGTATCCATAGAGGCCGATTCTAAGGCTAGGGCACTATGCAATACAATAGAGAGGCCCAATTTTTCCAGAGGGACCATACCCTTCCCACTGGGTATCCATACAGAAACATGTGAGCATACTTACATGTCATATACTGCCTCACCTACCCCTGCCAGAATATAGGTCACAGATTTCAAGATCCCCAAGGACCACCAGGGAGCCGAGTCTGATGCAAAAGCCAAGAGCCTTTATTCAAGCTCGAGCTCGGTCTCTCTGCCTCTACTGACACAGCAGCAGGATGCAAAGAGGCCCGAGTTCTGAAAGTACAGCTTCTTTATAGGGCTTAGGGTTGGGTGGTGGGGTGAAGGCCAGGGTCCAGTTACACAGGTGGCTGGATGTGGTTAGCTTATTTGGCCTTCTGCATTCCTAAGGGTGGGTTAGGCAACTGGAACTCTTTTGTAAAAAAAACTGCTGTTTAAAAAATGTTTGCTTTCTAGCCTGCTTTAGCCTGTTTGAAGATAAACTCAACTATATGACCTTGTAGACCAGAGACTAGATTTGCCCATAATCTCAATGCCATGCCAGGTGCATTTTTCAATTGAATAGAACTGTGTTGTTTTCAAGGCCAGCATCGAGATAACCACTAAGTGTACATAGGGTTGGCTCTTCAACAGAAAGGAAAGTTCTGCTTATAGCCTTGCTTTGCCCTTTCATAGCATCTTGACAACCTATTTAAACCAATTTGCATTAACTTGTAGCAAAGTATCATTCCCTGACATGTTGAGTCATTGAGTCTCCACAGACTTTTGAAAGGGAACCATTAATCAAAACATTCAAGAACCAGAGGGTCCCAGAGAAGTATGTATTAATTCCATCCAGATGTTGGGATTGTTTTTTTTTTTTCCTTTGTTCATTCCGTGCCCCCCTCCCCCCGCCCCAAATCACATTCAAAGAGAGAACAAGTTATTTTCATCTTATCAATCAAACAAGATGGAAAGAACTTTGCTTCCTTTATTCTTGGTCTGGTCTTCATCAAAGGATCAAGAGGGCTGGGCTACCAGCATCTGGGTCTTCAGGAAGTTAGCTGAATTATCACAGGATACTTGACACATATGACTGAATTTTCTGAATTGGTAAATGGTGTTGTAAGTATCTCAGCAAAATCCAAGTTCATTTTAATTTACAGTTTCCACACTGTTTACCTGCAGTGTAGGCAACCCATCTGTTTTGAAATCCAAGAAACTATGGCTGTGCAAATTGGTCCAACAAACAGCTGAATGTGCACGTTGCTCTGGTAGAGAGGGAAAGACCAATCTAACCATAAGTACATTTTATATCATGGCATCTGAGCAGCCTAGATGGCCCGGAAGCTTTGTTGTGCTGTGTGGCTATCAAATAGGTCATTCGATAACTCACAAAACTCCTCTCCAGCAGCACAGGCTTTCCTGAGGTGAACTCCTGCTGTGGAGCGAGGATGAGGAAAAGCAGATCTTTTTAAACTGCAGCTACAATTGGCAATCCCCTTCCTTACGCCACTCCTGAGCTTCTGACGTTCCTCCCTTCAAAAAGATGTGCTTTGCAAGGCTCACTTTTTAATCTGGCCTGATGAATCTCAAGATTTTTGCTCCTTAAATTGCTTGAGCAGAACAAAAGATTTTGCTTTATTTACACCTACTTACTAGATCAAATAAACAAGCCAGCAAACAAACAAAAAGCCCACTTTTTAATTTTATTTTTCCCATCACCATTTATCTCCTCTGTGCCCTTTTCCACCTCCACCCATCCTCTCCACCCCACAGTCACCATACTATTGTTCATGTCCATGAGTTTTCTCCCTCTCTCTCTCTCGCTCTCTCTCTTGCTCTTGCTCTCGCTCTCTTTCTTTTTTGGTTAATCCCTCTCCCCATCCCCTCCCTCCCTTCCCTCAGCCCCCACCCCCAGAGCTGTCTGCCTGCTCTATCTGAGTCTGTCTCTATTTTGCTTGGTAGTTCAGTTCATTAAATTCCACATATGAGTGAAATCATATGGCACTTGTCTTTATTTTTCAATTATAGTTGACAAAAAAGAAAAACACACACATACTTTTGAGGTGTTTTTTGTTGAATCCCCGTAACTTCTCTGAAACATGTTTCTTTGATACTTTTACGTTTTGGTTGAAATCCACAGTGGAAAATATGTTTCATGGGAGGGGGGGTAGAATCACCCAACACACTTCTGTGTCTTGCATGTGACTCAGCCCACAGAACAATTGGGAGAACCTTTCAGACCCACTAGAGATCTCCGGATTCCATAGGAGAACCATTGATCTAAAAACATCTTGATTTCAGAATCTTTCTTCTGATCTGGAATTATGTTATCGACCACAGAGAGCGGCTACTTACAATTCGTGGGAGAGGGCCCTGTGTGGTGAGAGGTGAGCCCAGTGTGGGAAGAAGAAATCGCTTTCTCTTTCTCGGTGGGTGTTTTGCTACAGTATGACATTTATGCTTCGTATGCTGTCTGTGGCTCAATTTCTTCTCCTTCACCTTCTCTTCCTCATCCTTCTTCTTCCTCTCTCCTCCTCATCTTCTATTTTTTGTTTAGTTGCTTCTTCTATTGTAACAGTCTCCCCAAGCCCCCAGTGCTTAGATGATTTTTGCCTGGTACATTCTGCTAATTGGAATTTCGGAATCACAGTTTCTTATTTGATTGCAGAATTTTCCTAAGTATTTAACCACCTAAATTATTGTAAAAGCAGCTGGACCTTAACCATGCCTTGTAGAGAAGGCTGCAGGTCTGCACCCTTCACTGTACCAGAATGCGGAGCTCTGTTGAAATACGTGGAGGAAAGTAGAACCTTAGTGGAGGGAGCAGCCATGTTACAATGAGTGGACAACAGGGACGATATGAAGAGCAAGTTTAGGGATTAATGCAACCGTATCCTGGAAGCATGAAGTGACAGATCTCCCAGCTGAGCCCCTAAGAATGAGATAGTTCGTCTGGCAGACTGCTGTGAACATTTTTTTAAAAACTGACTCGCATTGAAGGTAGGGAGTGGATCTGTGTCTCCTCTGCTACTAATAAAACAACATGGATCTCATTACGGATCGGGAACTAACACTGGTAACTTCTCTTTGGGCACAGCCCTCTGTAGAAGGCCCTATGCAATTGTAATTACCAGGAATGGGGATGGGGGCCATTATAGACTTTTGATTTGGTCACTTAAACATCCTGTCAGACAGATGTAGAAAGGAGACTGACCCTAACCTCAAAAGAAGTAAATCGTAGGTTGAAGTATTTAGTTTCCTTCCCTGTCAGGCTGAGGCTTTGAAAAACAGACGTGTGGGTCTCAGAAACCAAATGCCAGTTTGCCTTGCTTTGGAGCTCTGCAAATTCAAGAATATAAGGAAATGTATAACCCAAATTGAGACAGTTACTTTTTTTTAAGGTGTTTTTAAGAAGACTTAGCTTGAAACAAAAGTACTAGATTCAAAATATTGTAAACCGAAATTTGAATCTTATTTAAAAGATGAAAGGGCTCTGGCCTGTTTGGCTCAGTGGATAGAGTGTTGGCCCAAGGACTGAAGGGTTCTGGGTTCGATTCCCAGTCAAAAGCATATACCTTCGTTGCAGGCTTAACCCGGAGGCAACCAATTGATGTGTCTCTCTCACACTGATGCTTTTCTCTCCTCCTCCACTCTCTCTAAAAATTCATGGAAAAATATCCTCGGGTGAGGATTAACAAAACAAAACAAAGAGATGAAAGGATGCAAAGTGTGACTCTACTCACTTGTTTAGAAACAGTCATTACATACAGGATTCTAGGCATTATGTGTTTCCCTCTTCCTTGGTTAGGTCTGCTCTCAAGGGCCCTGAGCAGGCCTCTTTCAATACACAGTCAGTGATGGGGCTTTTAGAAGGTGGAGATGTTCGTTTAAAATGGGTCTTTAGTTCCTGTAGTTGCATTTGCTTCCAGGAAATGTACCCGGTGATGACTGACTAGATATCTGCTTTCTCAGTTCAGCTGTGAAATAAATAAATAAATAAAACAGCTGACGAATTGGGAGCTCATGAGTTTTCAGCAATAAGGAGTTAAAGTAGAAGAAGAAAAAAAAAACAAAAAAAAACGTGTGTTGGCTGGTGTCTGAGGTGGCTCTGAACGATGGTGACTGGATAAGACACCGGGGAGTGGTCAGAGGCTGGGAGAAGGAGTATTCCTGGGTCTGTTCTATCCAAACACTGTTGAATCAAGAAACAGATCTGGAACCACCGAGGTAAAAAAGTAAATCTTTTTTATGTATTTACTTTTTATTTTTTAAATATATTTTTATTGATTTTAGAGAGTAAGGGAGAGGGAGGGAGAGAGTTAGAAACACCAACGATGAGAGAGAATCATTGATCAGCTGCCTCCTGCTGGGGATTGAGCCTGCAACCCAGGCATGTGCCCTGGACTGGAATCAAACTCGGGACCCTCAGTCTGCATGCCAACGCTCTATCCACTGAGCCAAACCAGCTAGGGCTAGATATTTTTTATTTTTTAATGTAAGCATTTATAACTATACATTTCCCTATTGACACTGCTTTTGCTGCTTCCCATAAGTGTTTGTATGTGATTTTTTTTGTTTTCATTTGTTTCTAAGTATTTTGTTAATTTCCCTTGTTGCTTCTTCTTTGATCCATTGGTTGTTTAAGTGTATTGTTTAATTTCTAGCTGTTGTTTTTATTTTCTAGTTTTACTTATATTATTGATTCTTAAAAATATGCCTTTATTGTTGAAAGTATTACAAATGTCCCCTTATTTGTTTTTAACTTCATCCCATTGTGATTGGAAGAGTTTGATATCTATCTTTCTACATTTCTTGATACTTAATTTGTATCCTAACATATGATCTATTCTGGAAAGTGTCCCATGAGCACTTGAGAAGAATGTCTATACTCTTTTTTGTGAAGAGTATTTTCTGTATGTCTGTAAGATCTCATTGGTTTACAGTAGTTCCCCTTAACTGCAGTTTTGCTTTCCATGGTTTCAGTTACACAGAGCAAACTACAATCCACAAATATTAAATGGAAGATTCCAGAAATAAACAATTTCTAAGTTTTAAATTGCACACTGCTCTGAGTATCATGATGGAATCTTACACCATCCTGTTCTGTCCCACCAGGTCCATGAATCTCTTTGTTCAGTATATCCACAAAGGAGGATAAGGTCCTTTCTGCCCACTCTGGTTCCTGCAAGCTATGTGAAAGCTCCTCCAGGAACAGGAGAATAGCTGCCACAGGTAGCTGCTACTGCATAAAAGCCAAAATTAGCAGCAATTTTCTGTCCAAGACTTTCCTTGGAAGTTGTAACCTTCAGTAGACTCCAGAGTTCTTACATAGTTGCATTAGACAGATTCTTTCAGTGCAGATGTTGTGTAGGTGGGGAGGCATATTCCTTGTGCTTATTACTCCACCATCTTCATGGAGTTATCCTGTAGGAGTTTTTTGTATGTTGTGAATACAAATCTTTTGCCACATGAATGTATTGGAGTATTTTTCCCCCAGTCTGTTGCTTAGTTATTCATTTTCAAAACGATTATTCTTTTCATGAGCAAAATTTTCTTCAAGTTCAATATTTCACTTCTTATTTTTATGATTAGTACATTTTACGTTATGCCTAAAAACTTTGACTACGCTATGGTTGCAAATATATTTTTTAGAAGCTTTATGGTTCTTTTACATTTAGGTCTGTGATCCATCTTGAATTAATTTTTGTATATGGAGTGCAGTAAGGGTCAGAATTCTCTTCCCAATGACCTATCCAGTTGTTTCAGCACAAGTTGTTAAATAGACTTTCCTTTCCCTATTGAATTGATTTGGTGTCTTGGTTGATAATCAATTGACTATATATGCCTGGGTTTACTTCTGGACTCAATTTTGTTTATTAATCTAATTCTATCTACTTCTATTTTAAGCCTGATGTAATTATAAACTAAATCTTGAACTCAGAAATATAAATACTCTGACTTTGGTTTTTTTTTAAATATAACTTTGATTATACTAGGTCCTAGATCCTTTGCATTTCCATATAAATTTTAGAACCACATTATCAATTTCTTTAAAAAAGAAAACTTGCTAAATTACAGTTGATTTGAGGTTCTATATGATGTTATTTCCCTTTAGAGAGGGATTACTTTTGTTTCTATCAACTAGAAAGGTTAGGGGCTGAATACCTTTATTTAATAAATGTCTCAGGAATTCAAAGCTGGGGCCTGGCCAGTGTGGCTCAATTGGTTGAGCGTCATCCCATGCACTGAGAGGTCGCTTGGATTTCTGGTCAGAGCACTGATGCCCAGGTATGGGCTTGATCACCAGAAAGGGGTATGTAGGAGGCAGCCAATTAATGTTTCTCTTTCTCATTGATGTTTCTCTCTCTCCCTCTTTCTTTCTCTCTAAAAAAAATCAATAAAATATGTTTTTAAAAATTCAAAGCTAGGTTTTAGTATTTATCAGAGCTGGTCAATTACCCTTATCATAGGGTGAAATTCATCACAGTGCCAATAGAAAACCTGGGATGTTTACCAGAACATTCTCCTTTTCAGGCTCTTTACTATAATTTTTGTGTTGCCATCCAAAGCTGGGAAATTGCTAAAAGCTCTTTCACCTTCTCAACACTGCCTTTGTTTTTGGATTCAATAAGTATCTTTAGGAAAAAGTTTTCCCAAACATCAGGTTCACCTTCCTTGGCTTCCTTTTTCTTCCAGATCTTAGGCCAGCAAATTCTCATTGCTTTGGGTAGCTTTTTTTATGCCTTCAAATTGATGTTTAAGAATATAATAATTATCTACATTTTCCAATTGTTCTCAGCAAAAAGTTTATCTGAATAGCCCAATTATTCAGCCTTTGCTGTAGATGGAACTCTCTGACATACACTTTTTAAATATAAGTTAAAATGAACTTTGTTTTGTAAAATATTTTCAGGCTTTTCTAATTATTCTGAAAATAATTGGAAATTATTTAGAGGAACTGAAATTGCTAGCCTGGAGGTTGGCTTTAGCATTATTAGTGGGGAAATTACCACAGACCTTCAGACCAACATGAAACGGGCCACAGACAGAATGTGATGTTTGGAGCTGCTCACCAAAGCTACTTGATGTGCCTTATAAAAGGGGAGAAAATATTCCTTTGCTCATTATATTTATCCAGCTCCACTGAGGCAAAGTGGCATTACCCATTCATCATTTTTCCATTATTGTGCTATAGCAGCGTGTGGGTTTTATAGCTGGATAACACTGGAGAGCACTCCTCCTATTTGCTTTTAGATGTTCATAGTGGAATCTGCTCGCCCTTGCTCAGTGGTCGGCAAACTCATTAGTCAACAGAGCCAAATATCAACAGTACAACGATTAAAATTTCTTTTGAGAGCCAAATTTTTTAAACTTAAACTTCTTATAACGCCACTTCCTCAAAATAGACTGGCCCAGGCTGTGATATTTTTTGGAAGAGCCACACTCAAGGGGCCAAAGAGCCGCATGTGGCTCACGAGCCGCAGTTTGCCAAACACTGCTCTAGCTTAATCCCGGGAACTTCTTGCTATGCTGTCATTTAACAGGTGAAATCAGGTTGGTGGAGGTGAAAGCAGCAAGAGGAGAATGTGCCCTAATTGGCAATTTTAACTTAAATCTCTGAAATTTCTCAAATAAAATGTAATGATAGCTGGAAGCCTATGGCTCAGGTACACAGATGTGTGCACATAAGCAACCATATAGACATCCATACACATTCCTAAGCACATCCATATCACACACTCAAATAGTGTGAAGCCTAACCTTAGGCTAAACTAGATAATATCAAATAATCCACTGGATACTGTGTGGAAAGGTGTGACTTCTTAAGGACAGGATCAGAAAGCAAGAGCTAACTTTGGTTGATGCCTATTATGTGCCAAGTATATTCAGGGATGGTCAAAAGTAGGTTTATAGTTGTGAGTATGCAAAACACAGAATTTATTCTTGTATTATTTATTTATTAATTACTGTATTATTTGTCATCTTCTATAAACCGACTTTTCTCCACTCTGTACATATATTTTATTAATCCTTATAATAATCTTACAGAATCTTACTGTTATCTTCATTTTTAAATGTAACTCAATAGAGTTGGGGGGGGGGGGTGTCAAGGAAGCAGAAAGAAATGACTCCTGAACGACTATGGGAGTGGCACAATGAATGATCTGAAACACTTAGCAAGGGACACTGACAGTATATGTGATCTGAACAGAATGTTATAGGTTATGTGGCACTATAGAAAGCCAATGAATATTCCATGATTGTGCTGTTCCCTGAACACCTTCAGAGTGGGAACTGTCAGACCACAACCCTTTCCTTCTTTTTCCTTTGCTTTTGCAACTTCTAAAGCCCATTCTCTTGTGAGGAATCCCAACTATTCCTTTTATCCATCCTACCTTCCTCCTTTACTCCTACCCTCACTCCTTCCTCCCTTCCTTCCCCTCCTCCCCTCTCTTCCTTCTTTCCTTCTTTTCTTTTCTTTGGCTCCCCCACACACACACTCTACCCCCCACCCCTCACCCCACAACTAATAGGCCACAAGAGCTAGAGAAACTGGGGATGTCTTCAAGCAGAATGTGAGACTTGAAGGATTTGGGGGGTTTAAATGTAAAAGGAGAGGGCATTGAAAAAGAAACAAATGCCAACTATTGAGTCAATTGGCTCATATTTGTTGGAACCCCACCCTGAGTCCTTATAAAACTCTAGAGCACTGAGATGACAGAGAGATGACTCTGGCCCATGGGTTGAAAAAGGATATATTTGTGGACAGTGAATGGAAAGCATATATGGAATAATGGGAAATGAAGTCTAATAATCAAAATGGGATATATTACACAGGACCTGGAAAGCAAACAGATGAGTTTAAACTTGATACGGTTGATACAAAGAGTCCTTTTAAGCTTTTGAGCAGGTGAGAGGAAACAGTAGGGAGAAAGATTTGAGAGAGGGAAGACTGTTACACAGACTAACACCAGGCTGTATGTGAGCCTAATCATGGTGATAAGGGTCTCTAGGGTATGGCAGAAGCAACAGAAAGAAAGGACAGGGCTTGTGGGTATAGAGAATCTTTACTTCCAGGATATCAATTTTTGCCTTAGGAAATGCTTAGTTACAGCTTACAAAGCATAAAAGAAGGTAGACTATAGAGAGGAAGGGAAATGAAAAAGGCTGAAGGCTGAGAATGAAGCTATTACTACTGTGATCTGCAGCTAATAAGTAGCCCAGACCTTAGGTGTCTTCAAGTGAAGTTTAGGGCTCAACACCTGTGAAATATCTTTAAAAAAAAAAAAAAAAAAAAATATATATATATATATATATATATATATATATATATATATATATATATATATATTTTATTATTACGTAACTTCAGGGAGGAAGAGAGGGAAAGAGAGACAGAAACATCAATGATGAGAGAGAATCATTGATCAGCTGCCACCTGCATGCCCCCCACTGAGGATTGAGCCCATAACCCAGGCATGTGCCCCAACCTGGAATAGAACTGTGACCTTCTGGTTCATAGGTCTATGTTCAACCCTGAGCCACACTGGCAAGCATGAAATATCTTTTTAAAACTGCTAAGAACTCTGAGAATCATTGTTTAGAGCAATGATTTTCAGCCAGTATGCTGCAAGAATTTTTAAAATATGCAATACCTGACTCTTTAGTCAGGGACACTAACCTCTTTTCCCTTAGATTGTCAAATAAAAAATGACAACAAGTAACACAATAATAGCTGCCCAGTATTAATGAATCAAAATTATACCTGTTTTTTTGTCAGCTCAGCAAAAAAACAACAACACATATATATGTTTGTGTGCCACAAAATTTTAGTAACTAGTTTATATGTGTGTGCCGTGAGATGAAAAGGGTTGATAATTGCTGATTTAGAGGGTAGTATTATCAGATTGAGCAACTCTGATAATGCAGAGGGCATTTTAGGAGGTTGAACATGCAGAGAAACTTGTTTGTCGAATCTCAGAGAAAAGCCAGGGTGGGTGAGTGGGTGGGAAGAAATTAACTGAAGAATTTATATGTGTTTTTTTTAGTTTTTTTTAAATATATTTTATTGATTTATTCACAGAGAGGAAGAGAGAGGGATAGAGAGTTAGAAACATCGATGAGAGAGAATCATCGATCAGTTGCCTCTTGCACACCCCCTACTGGGGATGTGCCCGCAACCAGGTACATGCCCTTGCCCAGAATCGAACCCGGGACCTTTCAGTCCGCAGGCCGACGCTCTATCCACTGAGCCAAACCGGTCCCGGCGAATTTATATGTTTATATGCATAACACAGATAATAGTGTGGTGAAGGCCTGGGAGGGGGGTGGGGGCAAAGTAGAGGGTTCAGTGAGGGGAAAGGTGATATCTGTAATACTTTTAGCAATAAAGTTAAATTTTTTTTTAAAAAGACATATATATATATATATATATATATATATATATATATATATAGAGAGAGAGAGAGAGAGAGAGAGAGAGAGAGAGAGAGAGAGAGAGAGAGAGAGAGGCCCTAACTGGTTTGGTTCAGTGGATAGTATCAGCCCAGGGACTGAAAGATGAGGCCTAGGGCCAAAAACCAGGACTACAGGCTTTATTAGAGGAGAAGGACCCCTGTCGGGCTGCCTTCCAAAGGAAGAAAGCACATATGCAGGGGTGAAGGTGCCTTTTGAGGGGAGGAAAGGGAAGGGATGGGGCTTAGGGTACTCAGCACATGCTGATTGGTGGTTTCATATAAGTCACATGATTAGGCACTTAGGGACTTAGAAATCAGGGGCTTAGGGTATTTGGCAGGTGCTGATTGGTGGTTCAATGTACAGTCCATATAAGGTGCCTGGTTAGGTGCTCAGGAACGTCCAGGCTGCAGGTGCAGTTT